CTATAAGATTAATCTGAATGTTGTAAAATATGTTTCATATTGATTATCTATACTCTAAAAAATCAAACTTATGGGTTTCAATTTTCATTTTTACAAAACAGATACCCGTTGGATACCTGTCAGTTCCGGCTCCACTACCGGGAACGTAAAACCGGCCGTTAACCGGAACTGGTACTGTCGGGTACCCGTATTTTTCTAAAAAAAATTATATCTTGGTAAATTTGTTTTTTAAAAAAATAAAAAGAACTTTCACCTTAGTCTTTTTTAGGGTTTTGTTAATTCATTCTTGCCAAAAAAAACGCCGACACTCTCTTCTCCCCTGAACTCTATTCTTCTCGTCACTCTCTTCTTCTCGTCAAGACCAGTCGTCCCTCACATTACCAGTTAACAATAAAATATCGATTAGAGCTTAGAAGTAGGTGGCGCTCTAGTCGACATTCATCTCTTGTAGTTGTATCTTACGCTCAATCGCAGGTCATCTCTTGAAGTCGGCCATCTTTGTTCAATCGTTCACCATCCCTGCTCAATTGACTCTGCAACAAGTCTAAAATCGAGAACTCTACAAGTCTTTATCAGGTCAGCTTCTTAATATCGTTTTCTATAAATATGTGAAACCTCGATTTCTGTAAATATGTGAAGTTTAATTCTGAAAATCATGATTTCTGTAAATATGTGAAGTTTATTTCTGTAAATATGTGCAAGGCGATTCTAAGGACATCGTGAAAGTGAAAGCTCGTTTGGCCACTAAACCGGTATACACTCCTAATCTGTAATCTCCATTGATGTTCTTCGAGAGTTATATTTTGCTTATTCAGAATGTGTGTATTGTATGTGAGTAGGTGAAAGGACCGGTGCTAGTTGAAGACACTTGCCTCTGTTGCAATGCTTTGAAAGGCCTCCCTGATTAGTATAAGATTTCGGGTAGACATGAGAATTACAGTTAATTGATAACATTATCTTCAATCCTTCTTCAAGAACACTTGAGATTGTCTAAACTTAAAATTCATCATTGTTTTGATTGCAGGACCTTACATGTAAGTCTCCTTTGCTGCACTTCCTTGTTCATTGCATAAAATGATAAAAGCAATTAACTTTCTCTTACATCATTGGATTCATAGCAAGTGGTTTCTCCAAAAGCTTGGTCCTGAAGGTACTTAAATCAATTCAATTCAAAATGTGCCCTTGATCTGAACAAGTATATGCGAGGTATTCTTCTGTTTTTGTTTGTTTATATCAGTCACAGTGCTTCTTTAAGACATCTGGAGTCGTTTTTTTTTCTTATTTGTTCAGGTGAATGAATTTGGTACATCTGTAGTTGGTTCCTTTTAGCCGAAGCTGGTGAAGGAGCTACCAATTTTCATGTAGACCATAGAGTTGGTGACCAAGGCCCTTCAATGGCCATGAATGAAATGTTGGGGTCTGGGTCAGAGTCCGTGTTACTACCTTTGAAGCGTGGTCTGTAATTATTGGAGACTTTGGTAGATGTGCTTGTTATTTAGTGTCTGTTGATTTGTTGATATGCTTATTGAAGAAAGACTCTGTGAGGAACCCATCAATGACTTTGTTCAAAGTTGTGATATTGTTGCCTTCAATAAGATCTGTAAGTTCATTGTTTTAAGCAAATTATTTTCATTTTGTCTTGAATTTATATGATTGATTAGTTGGCTAATGTAACTGGTTTTGTGATTTCAGAGTTCGATGATGCTGTTGTTGCTGTTTTGTTATTGTTGTTTTGTGCTGTTTTTGCTATTGCTTTTTTGTTGTTTTGAGACTCTTTATGTTTTGTAGTTTGTTGCAGACTTGTTAAATTCCATCTATTTTTGTTTTGAGATCAAATTTTGTAATTGTTTTAGTTTATATATTAAATTCCTATTACTTATAAAAGTTAATTTCAATGGCATGTATAAAATAAAAAATTTAATATTCAAAAAACCGGGTACACGGAACCGGAACCGGTTCCAAATTTCTAGGAACCGGTGTAAGCGGTTCATTCCAATACCAATAATTTTAGAAGCGGCGGTTCCGAGAGCGGTTCCGATTCCAGCTAAAATAGGCGGGTACCCAGTTAGGCTCATCCCTAGTTTGGAAGACTGATATTCAGTCTCAGAATGATTGTTTTAAGGAAAGATGTTCGAGACTAAACATGATTCAAAGACTAATATTTAGTCTTTGAAAGATAGTATCAGGGAGTAATACGACATGAAATAGAGATGTCAATGAAACATTAGAGACTGAATAATATATTATTTAGAGCTGATATTCAGTCCCTAAAAGATAATATCAAGGACTGATATGACATCAAATTGAGGATTTGATGAAAAAAGATTAGAGACTGAATGGGATATTATCAGAGACTGACTTTCTGTCCTTGATACTTTGATGTATTAGGGATTGATTTTCAGTCCCAGATACATAAAAAAACGAATATCTAAGACTAGGTCTCGGGGACTGGCTAGGGACTAGCTAAATCAGTCTCCAATTCTCATCAGAGACTGATTATTGACCATCGGAGACTGATTATGTCAGTCTCTGATACCCCTTTTTCTTGTAGTGCCTTCTAAACATCATTTTAAACCATTCTTAACTAATACAATTGGAATCAGGTAAAATAGATGAGCCAAACTCAAGTTATAGAAGTGAGTGGCAAAATAATTCCTTCTCAGAAGGAAACATGGTCGTGTTTCTCTATCCCTTGAGAAAATACAGATGTGTTTTCATGAATGCACTCTCCTATTTTGTTTTTTTTTTCTCAAAATGGCACTCTAGTTTGCATAGTTTTGAAACCTATTTCGAATTCACTTTGTACCATTTGTATAGGTTCTCACACATGATTAGGAGGTGTTTTATCATCCAGAACACCCCACTTAAATCCTTAAGTGCTTATTGGAACCTTTAAGAACATGATGATATTTAAGTTTTAAATGGAGAGTTAGCTAGTATATTTTGAAATTTGACATTTTAAAACTCACATAGTTTGTTCCCAACTTATTTAACAATCATATGCATGTTGTTAAGTACATAAAACTACAATCAAACCCATTGTAACTGCTTAATTTAACTATGGAATCCTCAGCTCCCCTATTAAACTCTAAGTGCTTATAAACACTCAATTGAAAGGGTTAAAAGCCCAAGTTGCTCAATAACACTCTTCAACTAATATGAATTATTCTCAAATCATTTAATACATCATTGGGTGTTGTCAAGTTCTTAATATCTTACACATTCCTATTTTAATCACTTAATGCAACATGGGGTTGCCAATTTCATTCCATATTTGCTAAATTCCTAAATTGCCCTTTTGGCTAGAATCCCATGGATTAACCAAGTAATGAAATGACAATTTGTGTTGTAGCATTATAATTATCCAATGAGTATTTTTCCATGTTTATGGAGTTCATTTATTCCCTAAATACCAAGTCTAACAAGGTTTGTATGGATTTTAACCATATTTCCCAAAAATCAATACAAATCCGTGTTTATACTTGATTCTACCATCATTGATGAATTTGAGCATTCTAGTTGGATTTGTTGCTATCAAATATTATATAGATCATAGAATCCAATCTAGTTTCATCATCAATATTTGGAATATCCCCAATTTGGGTTTTCTAGGGTTCATGTGGGTTTTCACGTAAATCATCAAATCCACCAACATAGTGATTGGAATGATCAAAACTAATCAAGGGAAGTTAGAAACCAAAAACCCCAACCATTAAAAGAAGCTAATTTTGACTTTTGGGTTTTCTACAAACCTTGAATTCAAAATTTAGATGTGGAAGAGAAGAGATTATACCTACCAAGCTTTTAATTCCTCTTTCCTTTGCTTGGATGCACACATCTTGTCATGGATCAAACCTTAGATTTAAAAATGAAAGAAAATCACCATAAGAGAGGTCCTTATCTCCCCCCTCCATTTTTTTGATGAATGAAGGGAAATGGATACATCTTATTTACCCAAAAGTTTCATATTTGGTCCCTCTAGTTTATATCTTTTGTCAAATTTACCATTACTTCATTTATTTTCACATTTGCCTAAAAGGTTGACATGACAAGTCATCATCCATCCATTATATAGCTTTGGTAGTCCTTTCCATTAGACCGTAGTTTGAGTCCAAAAACGCTCTCGAAATTTCCATCCGAGGTGTACAAGTGCCACAATGGGTCGAAATGGTTTATGCAATCAGGCAAAATCAATGTTATACTGGTTATGTTTCTTAAAACAACCGGATCTTTTGCATACAAACTCTGTTTTGGACGTTCTTTATATTTTCGGACTCAGGTGAACATGTACTATGGTGCTAGAGTATTTGTTTCGTTTACAAACGTTTAATACACATTTTCAGTTTTTCAGATGTATTAATTAGGGTTACGGTTTGTACTTTAAGATTCGTTCGAGATTTATAGCACTTGGAGTAAAATACTATCTCATATCTTATTGTAATTGTAATGAAACTATATATTTATAAAAAAAATATGCATCAAAGCTCAACATATCAAGCTACAAAGAGGCTCGCGGTGAAACGACTGATTGCAGATTTAGACCTAAATTTCAGGATATGATAATGTCTAATTGCGTTTATCTGAATATATTTGACACCCTCAAAAGTAATCTAAATAGCATAAAATCCGTTTGGAAACAAATATGAAGATTTCCTAATAATGTAGAATATATTTTTTGGAAAATTGTCCCCACTTCCGTGAAACTTGTGTAATTTGTGACTGTCTATTAAGTATTATGTAAACCTGGAATTTGGTGAGGAAATATTCTACAGGTTTTCATCAAATTATTATCAGTGACATGCTAAACTATTTGTCCTAAAAACCATTGAACATATTTTAATGCGAATAACTACAAAAATCAACCACCGTTTGTTTCTACGGAAGGAACATGAGGAAGCCAACAACTAATGCAGCCCCAACTCACTTAATTTGCAAAAAATGGCCCACAACTAAAAGGAAACTTCATGCATGGTAACGAGTACTCTATCTTCTTTTTAATTTGATCTTTCTATTTTTTCTCTTTCCCCTCTATATATATATCCAACCCCATTCGTCTAGTTCTCAACCTCAAACACCACCTTCATTCAACCTCCATTTCTCTAAGTAAGCTCAATAAATATGGAGGTTGCATTGAACAACAGCCAAAAGTTCTTATCCAAGATTGCAACCAACGATGGCCACGGTGAAAACTCCCCGTATTTTGATGGCTGGAAGGCGTACGACGCCAATCCTTACCACCCTCAAAACAATCCCACCGGTGTTATCCAGATGGGTCTTGCTGAGAACCGGCTTTGCTTTGATTTGATTCAAGAATGGATCGAGAAACACCCTGAAGCCTCTATATGCACACCTGAAGGAGGTTTTGATTTCAGGGAAATTGCCATTTTTCAAGATTATCATGGCTTGCCCAAGTTCAGAATGGCAATTGCTAATTTCATGAGCCGAGTTAGAGGAAGCCGTGTTAGGTTTGACCCTAATCGGATTGTGATGAGCGGTGGAGCCACTGGAGCTCATGAGACTCTGGCGTTTTGCTTGGCTAACCCTGGTGAAGCCTTCTTGGTGCCCACCCCTTATTATCCAGGGTATATATACACTCCTTTCACCTTTTTTACCATCGTTTTGTGATAATTGTTTTTTTATCATCTAATCGTTATACTTGTTATAATTTAATTAAAGAAAAAGCTATATATAGTATCGCCTAATGAATGATCCTAGAAATTTCAAGTGTTATTTTTCTAATGAAAAATACGATAACCTTAGTTGAAGATCATATAGTATATCATATTCTAGTGTTTTGAGGAAAAAAGCAACAATGAAACTAAAATATTTACTCTTTCTAGAGTTTCGAATTTTACATATTTATGTAATTTATAAAGGGTTTCATCCATTATTGTAGTGAAATTTTCGCTCTCCATTTATTCATGCTTCTTTAGTAATCTGTTAGGAGATTAAACCATTTAATAGCAATTATCAAATATGTAAATTGTCAAAACATGATTTATAAACAATATGATACATGGTTTAACTTTTTAAAATTTTTTTTTTCATGTATCACAAAACAATAGTTGCAGTTAAAAAATAAACGAAAAAGTCAAGCATGTAACTTTCAGTTCCAACTTAAAATTAAACATGTAACTTTCAGTTCCAAATTAAATTAATATGTATTTATTTTGTGGACCAAGTACTTCATAAGAAATTTAATAATTTTAAACATAAATCAACTCTTGAGCTAGTTTATCTTTTTATATGATTTATGGTTAATAAATTCTTTTTTGGATATCTAAAATGACATTTTTAATATTTATATTTGAAAATACAGAAGTAAACTTTAACCTTTTGATTGTTACGTACATCCTATTTTAATAATTTTAATAATAATATATATTTACCGAACATCATGTATTCATTTTTGTAGATTTGACCGTGACTTAAGATGGAGGACTGGAGTCGAGCTTTTACCTGTTGTTTGTGGAAGCTGGAACAACTTTAAGGTCAGCCTTGCTGCCCTCGAGGAAGCTTATGAGAAAGCGAAAGAGTCGAACATCAAGGTCAAAGGATTACTCATAACCAACCCATCCAACCCTTTGGGCACTTTCTTCGATAAGGAAACCCTAAAAACACTTGTCACTTTTGTTAATGACAAAAACATCCATCTCATCTGTGACGAAATCTATGCTGGCACAGTGACCAAAGACAACGAATTCATCAGCATAGCCGAGATCCTTGAAGAATCCCCCACGATCTGTAATCATGATCTCATTCACATTGTTTATAGTCTCTCAAAAGACATGGGATTCCCTGGATTCAGAGTTGGAATCATCTACTCCTACAATGATACTGTCGTGAGTATTGCACGTAAAATGTCGAGCTTTGGGCTTGTCTCGACTCAAACCCAACACATGATCGCTTCAATGCTATCAGACGATGATTTTGTTGAGAATTTCATTAATGAAAGCAGGAATAGGCTTGCCAACAGGCACGATCTGTTCACCCGGGAGCTAGCCCAAGTTGGGATAGGCAGCTTGAAGAGCAATGCCGGACTTTTCTTCTGGATGGACTTGCGTCGTTTCTTAAAGGATGCAACTTTTGACTCTGAAATGACGTTCTGGCGTATCATAATAAACGAAATCAAACTCAATGTCTCACCTGGCTCGTCTTTCCACTGCTCTGAGCCTGGCTGGTTTCGTGTCTGTTTTGCTAACATGGATGATGAGACTGTTACAATTGCTGTACGTAGAATCAAATCGTTTGTGCTCAAAAACAAGTTGTTCGAGATCAAGACCAAGAGCAAGAAACAGTGTTGGCAAAACAACCTTCACCTCAAGTTATCTTCACGTAGGCTGGAAGATATCATGTCACCTCAATATTCCCCACTCAACTCTCCCCTGGTCCGAGCACAAACTTAGGGGAACGAACAGTACTCTTTTCATGCATGGCATACAAGAACTGTAGCAACGTTTTGCTGGTATTTCCTGTAAGAAGAGGGTGAGTAGTGGGTATTGCATGTGTATCAACATTATCACCGTGTGATGTTATTTGTATTTTTAAGCTAACTTGTAATCACAGTTTGATGCATATTATTTTAAATAAAATTTTGGTCAATTCATTTGATTTTGAATGGAAATAGTGCAAAAATCTTTTAGTATTTCATGTTGGAGCCTTAAGAGAAACTATATATAACTTCCCAGTACACTTAAAAACAGTGATTTTATCACCACTTCAACCACGTGTTAAAAACATATAATTGACATATTGTCCTGTCACATGTTAGTCAGTTTTATTGACATAAAAATGAACCCAATATTTGACAAAAAAACAATAAATATGACGAAATTTTGTGACAGAAGCATCGAGGAATATTCATTGCTAAATTTTATGAAAAGATGCATCGCTAATCGCTCATATAGTTATTTTGCAATAGAATATTTTTCTTGCCGATCCAACTTACATATACTGTTAAACTATATTATCACAAAACATATTTCATCTTGTTGACGTTCTTAACCCTGGAAGGTCCATATAGATCCATATGGATCAATTTTAGTGTTCTTTGGATTGAGGAATCCACAATCATCTTGTTTGGTGGTCTCTTACATTTTCCTAATTCAAAGCATATGCAAAGAGTATCATCATAAAAAATTTATAAATAGAAGTTCATTGATAGGTTCTTGTCCCACCAATCTTAAAATTATGTTTCAAGAGTCTTCTATGTGCTGCCATAGCCCAATTGGTAGAGGCATAGCCTCTTAGTTTCAATTGAGAATAGCCCAATTGGTAGAGGTATATCCTATTAGTTTGGGAGAATGAAGATGTCACGGTTCGATCCTTGGTGCTAACAAGAACTGAAATATTAATACTAATCTGTAACCAGTCATGTTGTCGTTAAAAAATAGTCTTCTATGCACTCAAGCGGATGGATAAAGCCTTAGAGAAAACATAAATATTAGGTTTACCCACAATAAGAGAAATCTTCAGAAAAGTCCTAAAACTTTGGGTCAGTTTATGATCTACTCCTAAATTAAATTTCATTAATGAAAAAAGACAAAAAACTGGCTATTGCACTTTTATCCCTTTTTACCATTTCAACAGGTTAACCATTTCACCTTTTTACCATTTCACCTCAGTTACATACTGAGGTGGGTTGCCAATTGGATTGTTGGGCGGACGTGGCATATGAGGTGGCATGCCTTTCATTAACAAAGTAAAAAAAATTGGATTTTTAGGGCAAAAAAAGACAAGGGGACTCGAACCCTTGACTACCCACTCATGAACCAGACACATTACCATGTGAACTAGAAGCATTTATTGATATTGTTTCTTTAACGTATTTATAAAGTCTTAAGAAATTATTTATAAATGGCCTAGAATATTCCCCTCTAACCTTTCTTCTTCCCTCGGTCTTTCTCCAACATCCGATTCTTTAATCTCAACTCTGTAGTGGACTCCGACGACAAATTCGGCAACCACCACTACATCTTCACCATTGAAAAATTTGTTTTGGTTTGAAGGTCGACCACCTGACCACCACTAACCATTACCATCAAACCTTAAACTCATTAAAAAAAAGAATGCAGATGGCGTCAATGGAGGCGGAGAAAGAATGCAAATGCTGTCATTTTAGCATAACTTGAACTGAATCGCTCATCAGAAACAACTCAGACTCAATATCAGCATTACAAACCCTCTTTCCCTCTCTACCCCGAAAATCAGTCTCACTCTCATTAACCCTCACCTTAGATATAAATTTACAGATTCAGGTGTTGAAATTCTAGGTTTAAATCGCTTAATTTGTTGCTTGTGACGCAGATGTGATTGTTTGAACGATGGAGGAGGTTATTCGTCGGCTGTCTCTCTCAAGGTTGCAAATGATACCATATTTAATGTGTCGTTGATGGGGGCCATAGGGGTCTTAAGACTTTATAAATATATTTGAAGAACTAATATCAACATGTGCGTCTAGGTCACATGCTAAGTTGTTCAGTTTGTGAATGGGAGGTCAAGTGTTCGACTCCTCATCCGCCCTATTTTACCCAACATTCTAATTTTTTTACTTTGTAAAGGAAGGGAAAGCTACCTTAGATGCCATGTCAGCCCATCAATCTATTTGGCACGACACATCAGCAATAATCGGCTGAAAAGGTGAAAAGGGGTAAAAGTGATTACAATAGCCAATTTCCTATCTTTTTTCATTAATGAAATTTAATTTAGGGCTAAATCATAAACTGACCTAAAATTTTAGAACTTTTCCGAAGATTCCCCCCACAATAATATTAATGTACAATAGATACATGTTACCATTTATTTCTTGTGTAACTAATACTTTTAATTAACATCCACGATATGACTCTTGTATTTGTGAAGTTCTCTTGGAAATCTGTCCACTGCTACAATAAAAAATAGTAATACAAGATACATATTCTTATGAGAAAATTACAAATATAACCAAAATAGTTAATTACTTTGTAAAAATAACCAAAAAAAATCCAAATTACAAAAATAGCCATCAAAATTGCAGATGGATTAAGCCATCTGCGATTTCACCAAGCCATCTGCGAACGCACAAGTCCCTAGCTAGCATACAATTGAAGCTATATAATATAAAACTTAGTTTGGATGCTTACCTCTTGAGTAGGGTAGAGTTCTTGACCTTTGAAAGCTTGAGCACCTCAATTGTGATGCCTCTATTGGTTCACAAACACCAAAATGCAAGAGGAGGTTTTAGGAGAATAAGTTACTTGACTCCAAAGAGTGTATAGCCGATTTTGGCTTATATGGGCACTATTTATAATGTGGCAAACTAGGGTTACACTTTGTAAACCCTAATGCTCCATGCCTTTCATATTCTTATGCTCCATGGGTTAACCTCCATGGAGTATCCATGGATTATCTTATTGGTTTAGCCCAACCATATAGTCATGGATCATTAGCCCACATTACAAGAATCATTGATTTACATAATCAATCCCCACATATTTAATCTCTTTTGATCACAAAATTAATTCCAAATTAATTCTTGATCAATACTAATTAAATAATATTAATATATTATACTTGTAATATATTAATAAGTGACAAATAACCTTATTCTCAAAAATCCTTCCTATCAAATTGCACTGGTGAAGGCAACCCAAAAAGGGACCATGCTATAATCGGGTCAAGTACATAGCAGCTATAGTGATGGGCTTAGACACCAAATCCAATAGTCTCTCACTTGGATAAGTCTAATAACTATAGTTGCCAATGTAACTTCAGAATCCGACTTAGCAATCGTAAGCTTTCAAAAGTCGTTGTCAACTCTGACCCAGTCAGTGACGCATCCTTTAGATAAGTGATCATATAATCCTCTGTTTTCAAGATATCAGCTGGACAAATACATGGAACAATGTCATACTTATCGTCCAACAGTTTGTTTCCTGATTTCCGATTCGTTTGACATGAAACATAACTGAACACATCAATTTAGTTCTGACTGGGACGACACATAAGTCAAAACAGAATCATCAAGGGGCCCAAGATATCGCTTTTAATCCTTTTAGGATAAAAGGGAAAAGATAAACTTCGACATTATATGCTTGTACTAACTACTCATCAAATCATGCACAACGACACGTTTTATGACATCAAGTTACTGATGCATTTTCGTGCCATCAATGCATAACCAACTCGTAGTCAACAACTTATATATCTTGGTTTGAAGACTTATATGATATTATCGCCTCATGATCACTCGTGATAAATTCCATGAAGTGATTCAAGTGAGGGCGGGTTGAATCCAATACTCAAATCTTATTTCAGGAGCACTCTTGAACGGTGTATCACACTTTTGCTATGTCTAACTCCTTAGACAATCTACAAGCCAACTCATGACAGTCTTATTTCATACTTACTTCCAACGTATGATCGACTGTGGATAGTTTGAATAATAATAATAATTATAATTTTATTATTCTGGAAGTCAAAACATGCAAAGTGAAACACAAGATAATACTAATCCAATATGGCCCCAAAACTTGTGAGCGTAAATAAAACACCTTTTATTTAATCACCATATTGATTACTCATTATTCATTGTATATTGTTTTGATTTATCAACTAATACTTGAATTAAAACAATAGTTATCCCATGCTCCAAGCATGCACACTATGTTTACCTATGGTCCTTATTTTGTGAAATAAATCAATTTGATTTCCAATTAAACTCATTTCACAATTCCAAATCTTTAAGTGTAAGAATACCAAATTCTTGTCACTATTAGAATGTGTTAGTTCTAAACTATTATGCAAAGATCCTTTTGTAATGACTATGTACACAAGTTACAGATACTTTGTCAATTACAAAACATTCCATTGGAGATTGTTACAAGACAATTCCATAGACCCGAAGTCTCAAATTCAAAGCATATTCCTTTGAACATCCTTCTTGCATAAAAGTTTCTAACTTTCTCATAGATTCTTGATATCCAACTCCCATTATGGAAACATATCCATATTCGCCATATGACAACTCATTGTTAAAATAATCATGTCTATTCATAATAATGTCAATATGGTCCATCCATTGCTATACTTCCAACTATCCATAAGCAATCTATCCTTAGCGAACCTTAGATTGTCCTTGACAGTTGTTTAACCACTTTAGTTAGATTTAGTTCTAGTCCTTTTTTCCTTTTAATGCCCTAGGCATTTGAAAAATTAAAACACATGAATATTATAGCATATGTAATCGACCCTATATCTGAAACATATAGGACACGATTCATAATGTCTTACATAAAGACATGATACTTGATCAGTCTTTTGCTATAATATTTCTATTTGCCATGTTCTCACAATTCGAACTATGAAGAGGGATGCCGTAATCATAATCAAATTTTGAGAATGCAATTTTCCATGTATAGAATTTCCTTATGTCGAATCTTTTCAACATAACATTCATATATGTCTTTGACTGAATTTGATTAAAAAACTCAATCTAAGCTTTTAGAATTGAAAAATGAAGTATAAGTTCCTCTCCCTTAATTATAGCAAAACAACTTTTCAACCCTACAATTTTGCGAATTGAAACTTTGTTTTCTATA